CCCCAATCACAATGATCACCCAAGACTGCAGTTTCATAGACAAAGTGCTGACTGGACAGAGATAATGAGTTACCCTAGGTTGCACCTCCAGGTCAGGGATGAAGCATATTGCTGGGGAAGCAAGGTGAAAGCACAAGAACAGCCTTACTGGGTCAGAGCCATGGTCCAGCTCAGTATCCCGTCTTCCGATAATGGCCAATGCCAGATGCTTTACAGGGAATGAACACAACCAGGCCATTATCGTGTGATCCATCCCTTGTTGTTCAGTTTCTGGCAGTCAGAGGCTTAGGGACACCAAGAGCATAGGACTGTGTCCCTGGCCAACCTGGCTAATAGCCATTTATGGACCTGCCCTCCATGGACTTATTTAATTTTTTTGAACTCTGTTATACTTTTGGTCTTCACAACATTCCCTGGCAATCAGCGTCACAGGTTGACTGTGCATTGAGAGAAAAAGTACTTATGTTTCTTTTAAACCGACGGCTGCCTATTCATTCCATTGAGTTGCCCCGGGTTCGTCTGTTATGTGAAAGAGTAAATTCACTGTCTCCATATCATGCATAATTTTATAGACCTCTATCATATCCTCTCTTCTAAACTGAACAGTCCCAGTTTTTTGAATCCTCATGAAAGCTGTTCCATACCCCTAATCATTTTTGTTGCCCTTCTCTGTACTTTTTCCAATTCTAAAATATCAATTTTGAGATGGGGTAACCTGAACTGCACCCAATATTCAAGGTGTGGGCATAACATGGATTCATATAGTGGCATTATGATATTTTCTGTCTTATTATCTATTCATTTCCTACTCATTCCTCATATTCTGTTAGCTTTTTTGACTGCTGTTAAATATTGAGCAGATGTTTTCAGAGAACTATCCACAATGACTCCAAGATCTCTCTCTTGAGTGGTAACAGCTAGTTTAGACCCCATAATTTTGGATGTATAGTTAGGATTATGTTTTCCAATGTGCATTACTTTGCATTTATCAACACTGAATTCCATCTGCCATTTTGTTGCTCAGTCACCCAGATTTGAGAAACCTCTTTGTAACTCTTTCCAGTGAGCTTCAGACTTAACCATCCTGAGTAATTTTGTACCATCTGCTTTGCCACCTCACTGTTTACCCCTTTTTCCACATCATTTGTGAATATGTTGCACAGCACTGGTCCCCTAGAGATCCTTGGGGGACCCCACTATTTACCTCTTTCCACTGTGAAAACTGACAGTTTATTCCTACCCTTTGTTTCCAATCTTTAAACCAGTTAACGATCAACTAGATGACCTTCTCTCTTAACCTATGGCTCCTTACTTTGCTTAAGAGCATTTGGTGAGGGACCTTGTCAAAGGCTTTCTGAAAATCCTAGTATAGTTTATCTACTGGATCACCCTTGTCCACATGTTTGTTGACCCCCTCAAAGAATTCTAACAGATTAGTGAGGCATGATTTCCCTTTACAAATGCCATGTTGACTCTTTTCCAACATATTGTATTCATCTATGTGTCTGATATTTCTGTTCTTTACTATAGTTTCAACTAATTTGGCTGGGTACTGAAGTTGGGCTTACCAGCCTGTAAATTGCCAGGATCACCTCTACAGCCTTTTTAAAAAATCGGTGTTACATTTGCTATCCTGCAGTTATCTGGTTCTGAGGCTGATTTAAGGTATAGGTTACATACCACAGTTAGTAGTTCTGCAATTTTATATTTCAGTTCCTTCAGAACTCTTGGGTAAATACCATCTGGTCCTGGTGACTTATTACTGTTCAGTTTATCAATTTGTTCCAAAACCTCCTCTACTGACATCTCAAATCTGGGACAGTTCCTCAGATCTGTCACCTAAAAAAAATGGCTCAGGTATGGGAATCTCCCCCACATCCTCTGCAATGAAGACTCATGCAAAGAATTCATTTAGCTTCTCCGCAACGGGCTTGTCTTCTTGAGTGCTCCTTTAGCACCTCCATTGTCCAGTGGCAATTCATCATGCAGTTCTCCAGTCACCACAAACCCAACTATCTATATTTCTAATAACCAAATCCCCCATTACTATTACCGCTCTCTTCCTAAGAGCTGCCCCGCCAGAGGTATCCTCAGTGTGAGAGGATACCACGACATCATCTGGAAGGAGGGTCCCAACTATGGGATAATTTCCCTCCACTCCAGTTTGATGTTCTCCTTCCCTGAGACTTTCCTCCTCCACAGCACTGAAGCTGTTAGATTGAGTGTAGGACTGCACTACTGTGTCCCGGAAAGTCTCATCTACCTACCTCTGTCTCCCGTAGCTCCTCCAGTTTAGCCACTCTGTCTCCAGAGCCTGTACTTCTTGAATAATGAACCTATGGCACATATAAACAGACACTGCACTGGTCATTGGGATTAAGCCCAGGACCATCAGCGCCCAAAACCGAGCCTCTAGGACTTGAATTAAAAGAGACTTCTTTAGCTGCAAGTATCAGACTACTCTAGTCCCTCAGACTAGCCACTAGAAAGACATGATCACATGAATTCTGCCAGAGCATTGCACAGGCACTGCTCCTGTACATGATTTTCCTGTTCTATGGATACTTCTGTCTGCTGGACTATCAACACAGCACCATTAAGACACACTATAATGATTTTGAAAAATTGCACTTTTCACTAATGATTATTTACATATTCAACTTGCAGAGGAGAAATGTGAGAATTTCACTGTAGTCAACAAAAGAAACCAAGCAGAGAATCTGCAAAGCCAAAGGTGCATATCAAACCATACAGATATGTGCTGGGCAAATGAGAAAGCCATCCCCGCTGCAAACCACATACCTTCCACTGTCAGCGTGGCTTTGGTTTCTGCATTTCCTGCTCGGCACTTGTATGTGCCGGAATCTTCAGGTGTCAGTTTCAGAATTTTGAGTTCTGCTGTGTGCTTCTCCCACTTGGGTTTGTATTTTTCAGAGGGCTCAATGAGGGTGTGGCCCTTGAACCACTCTACAACCTTTGGAGAAGGCCTAAAATCACAGGACAGCACGACTGAATGGCGTTCTAAGGCAGTCTTATCCTCCAACTTTCTGGTAATCTGCACGTTAATATCTGTAAGAGAGGGTTGTGAAGGAGGAACAGATAAGAACAATCTGAAAAAAGAGGTGCAATTTGATCTGTAATCAACTTCAGTAAATACAAGGAGCACTCTGAATTTCTGTTAGAGGTTTGACTTGCTAAGAGGCAACCTGGAAGATATGAAGGGTAGCATAATTTACACCAGGAATTTCTGCCGATGCTATGATTCCCAAAGGGACTGTTGTATATTTACGACCAAATGCAGGATACCAAATGCAGGGCCAAAGCTTGAAAGTTTTGATGCATTGTTTATTACTCAGCAAAATTCTTACTGAGGATTTTGTCTAAATAAGGGCTGAGTGGGGACTTCAGGATTTAGTCCAGGATATTTAGCATATGGAAAAATTAAGTTCAAAAGACTGGGAGCTTTTTCTCAACTAGAATCTACAAAAATGCGGCTGCTCTCACCAAGCTTATCTAAATTATATTCAGCTCTTATGGCACGCAACACATTTCATTTTCGAAGCACTTTACAAACATCATCAAATTACGCTGAACAGCATCCACGTGAGTTACTGAAGTAGTATCATCAGCTAGGGAAGCTGAGGTCAGGGGCGGCTCTACGTATTTTGCTGCCCCAAGCACGGCAGGCAGGCTGCCTTCGGTGGCATGCCTGCGGGAGGTCCCC